GGAAACTGAGATACAGAGAGGCTAAGTGACTTGCCCAATGTCACACTGGAAATCTGTGGCAAAGCAGGGTCTTGTACCTAAGTCCTAGGGTACGGCCATAGCCATTGTATCATCCTTCCTCACCTTATTCTCCCTTTGATGCATTGCTTTGAATATACAGGCTGTCCTTGGTGAAGTCAGTTCCTTGAATGCATCTAAGAGCAGGATTTGTCTCTTATCAAAGAGAGACCATATAATCGGATGTGGTTGATCAACACCCAAATCCCTAGTTCTAATATATTTCATAGTTAAATGTGTTGGTTTCCTCATTTTAGAGACATAGCAAGACCTTAATAGAGTTAAATGTTTAGGTATATTTTATGTTTTATAAACAGAACATAAAATATATCTGTGCTATTTTTAGCCATTCCTTTCAGTAACTAATTGTAGCCATACTTTGTTGTTTACACACTGTTAGTAAATAGCAGTACCTACTAAAAATAAACACCTGCAATTCTTAAGGCATTATAATAGTACTACTCCAGAAGGAAATAAATCCTTTTAAATAGTCCCCATTAAAAAGAGTTCACTAAGTTTCCACAGCAGGAAATAAGATATAAAATAAAGCTATTCTCAGCCAGCTACCATAACAAAACAAACTATTACAACATTCACTTCCATAGATAGAACAGCCAGCATGAGCGATTTCACCAGTGATTTCACAGGGGAGACCATCTGCACATAGACATCCCTGGTGACTATTCTGGGAAGGTTCAACCAGCTGGTGTTGGACACATTTGTTACACACCAATGCCAAATTGTTCCTTTGAGTCATGTACACTTGGCTCTAACTGCTTTCTGTGCAGTATGGGGTGGGGCATGCCAGCTAAGCATCTTGCTAACAGCATCTAGTGGTAGTTATCCCTGTCAGGGGTGGTTTAGATATTAGACTAACATTGGGGTCAAAGGTATGTGGGAATGAGAGGTGGTGGATTCCCCTCCCCTCCCCCCAGGGGATTCGAAGAAAGCAGATTTTAAGAACCAGTGACTGAAGGATGAGGGGCAAATCTCTCAATGAGCTGACAGCTGGTGCAACAGTATGCATCAGCACTATGCTTGCTGGCTGCTAGAGTGCCCAGCTAGCATGTCCTGAAAGTACAAATATATATATGGGGGGAGGGATAGCTCAGTGGTTTGAGCATTGGCCTACTAAACCCAGGGTTGTGAGTTCAATCCTTGAGGGCCACTTAGAGATCTGGGGCAAAAATCAGTACTTGGTCCTGCTAGTGAAGGCAGGGGGCTGGACTCAATGACCTTTCAAGGCCCCTTCCACTCCTAGGAGATGGGATATCTCCATTAATTTTTCTGGTTAAAAGACAGGGAACAAAGGGTAGGAATAAATGGTAAATTCTCAGAATGGAGAGGGGTAACTAGTGGTGTTCCCCAAGGGTCAGTCCTTGGACCTATCCTATTCAACTTATTCATAAGTGATCTGGAGAAAGGGGTAAACAGTGAGGTGTCAAAGTTTGCAGATACTAAACTGCTAAAGATAGTTAAGTCCAAAGCAGACTGTGAAGAACTTC